ATCGAAAAACTAAGATCCGTTTGTAGGTACTTCAATTTCTTGAGGATTATCATTTATTAACATAATCTTTCACGAATGAAATTACTGCTGATCAATTTCAAAAAGTCAGATTGGTTACTATTTTTAATTACATTTATAATTTTTGTAAACAGTTAACATTGCTCTACTTCAGCAACACCATGCAACTTAACAATGGCCCATCGAAAAGTTTTTTGACAAAATGTTTGCCTATTTTTGACTCTCTTAAAAGAATTCTAGACGAATGAAAAACTATGGGTTAGGACTAGAATTTTGTGCTCTTTCTGAATATGGGCTCAGAAATGGTGTATCTGTTTTTGCTGGAAAGTAGAGATGGAATCTTTGTAAGACCTAAAAAGATAGTTTGGACGAAAAATTTCTTCGTACATTTTCGTATTTTCGCTATTGGTATTCAAAACTAAATGCTGAAACTTTTCTTCATATATCAGCTTGTGGAGCTAAACTTGTTGTACAAAATGTGGTATTTGAGCTTACTTTGTTGTTCTGATAAAATACCTAAATTGGTGTTTTTCTATCAGCCACATTTTTGAAAAATCGGTTTTTTCATCAAAATTCGATTTAGGTAGATGAAGCTTTTGCAAAAATAGTTACATTTTCACTTATGTAAAAGCTACATTTTAGTTCGACATAATATTTGGTGAAGAATTGTCCGCTCTACCAAAATTACCAAATTGAATCATTTTTAACATTTTTGCAAAGAGACTTACAGAGGTCGAAAATGCCTGTTTCTTCGCCACTCACACCGATTTTTCAGGGCGTTCAAAGATTCCATCAGTACTCTAGAATAAAAATAGGTACACGATTTCTGAGCCCATATTCGGAAAGAGCACAACATTTTGGTCCTAACCCATAGTTTTTTTTATTCGTCTAGAATAGTTTTATGAGAGTCAAAAATGAGCAAATATTTTGTGAAAAAACTTTTCGATAGGCCGTTACAGTTGATAATGCATTCAGTCTTGTATATGAATGAGCAATGTGATTGAACCGAATACAAACTCTGCTTTTATTTATTGGCTAAATGAAACTTCGAAAGCAGTCGCATAATAAAGATTCCTAGGTATTACCAATTGCGAGGAGCAAAATCCATGAAAGAAATTTCGGAGAAAAATCGGTTAAAGTGGCGCTATTTGATTCTGATTGCAATCTGATTTTTCCATTTTAATAATAGATTTCAATTGGTTTTAGTCATTTTTTGATTGATTAATATAATTTTATCAATTGAAATTGTTTTTTAAATCAATTACGAATGATTAAAATCAAAAATTAAATCTATCCTGTAAGTGGAAAAAATTAGGTTTCCATTGTATTTAACTAGCACCATTTTAATCACGTTTTAGTTTAAAAAAATAGATTAACATCGGATTTTTTTCTGTTATATTATGTAGAAAATCTTCCTTGCAAAAAAAGAATAAAATTCGGGCCGTACGATCCGATTGAAGTTTAGACTTATCTGGGCCGAAAGAAAAATCACATTGGGTCGGGCTAGGCAGCCCATTTCGAGCTCTGGTTAATACTTATTACTATGATTGATGAATAATGTTCAATTCATTTTCTGACTCATAACTATAACTCGAGTGATAATTCAGACAGTTTGAATTCTTCCCACACTGGCTAGCAGGACTAATTTATAATTATTTTGAAGAAGGCATCTTACTGTATATTTTCTTTTAAAAAGAGATCTCTACAAAGCGATTGATTAGTATTGAAATTTTTATTATACAGAATGAGAAAGGTTTTCTGGTTGACTTATTATTGTCAAACAGCATTGAAATCAGACGTGAAATTCGTTGAGTTTTATATCTCAAAATCATTGAATAATTGACTTGTTATTATAGTCTGTATCACAGAGGTTTTAAAAGTCATTTCATCTTTATCTTTATTTTCCCAGATCAATTTATTTGACAAAAGTATACGTGTTATTAACAAGGAAATATATCAGATTTTCTACTGTTTAGGAAACCTGTTATTGGCAGGAGAAAATATCAGGTTTTCTGTTGTTTAGAAAACCTGTTATTGACCGGAGAATATATCAGGTTTCCTACAGTTTCAGAAGAAAGTGTTTTTATCTAGAGAAAATTGTTTTGTATTAATCAGATCTTTCGTTAAAAAATAGTTCCGTGTTACGTCCTTCGAGAATCTTTAAAAATTAACATTAATATCTGCTAATTGTTTAGAAGCAAACTGATAATAGAACATTTTATTATTAATGTTTCACTGATTCGATGTTAACATTCACTTATTGAAATTCAAATGAATATATTTTTATCGGTCTTCTTTTACTGTATTTTTATCATAAACAACATTTTGTCATATTGAAAATCATTTAATAAAGAGAAACGTTAAGTTTTCTCCTCAGTTTAAATCAAGCAATGACAATATTTTCTCAAAGGAAATCACCTCTTCCTTTTCTTTTATTCATTCCTATATTATTAGAATGTTTTCATGTCTTTTCCCCATTACTGGTGATTGCATGCATTTTCTAGGTAACTATACACGATAAAAATGTTTTGTCTAGCGGACAGAACATGTGCATTTGATTATCTAACTTATTTATTAGATGTCCTGAACACCTTCTTTATCAGATAATAACAAGACATCACTAGTAAGAGAGACATTTTTTTTCAGCTGTGTTGCAGAAAAAGATGAACTCCTAAAATCTTATAGCAATTTTTCTGTATATAAAATTTATTAGAAATGGAAAGTTATCTGTAAGATAAAGGTGCAATTTTCAATCAGATTCATTCTCATTGTCAAGATCTAGATTAATATTTCAAAATTTAGGCATTAAAGAGAAAATTCCTTAACTAAAAAAATGACTATTTAATCTCTCACAATATGTTCTTTTAAAGAGCGTCACTGAACGACTTTCTTCGTCCTGTCCTACAAAACACAATACATTATTAGGCAGTCATTATGGTTTGTAGAACGCAGAACAGGACATCTAAAAGTTTGTCCTTGTATGATGATCTTTTTAGAGAGTTTTTGACAAGGA